TTAAATTTATGTTTTGTTTTACTTTGTTTTATGAGAATTTTAGTACAGTAATTGTTCGTTTGATAAGTAATTATTAATTAGAAAAACGAAGTTAATGATTCCGGTCCTCGGATCCGTGAATTTCCGGCAAGTTCCTGTCGGAAATGCCCCGCATATCTTAACCTGAAAATAGATGTTTTTTTTTTATTAGATTTCATAACTATGAATCGCACGGTAGAGTTATACTTTCTGATTACATGTAAACAAAACTTTTATGTGTTTCGCTTACGACATAATTTTTCGAAGATCAGCCTGAACATAGATTGAAATGAACGATAACAGACAATTTGATTTCGAACTGAATAGTATGTGGTAGGTAAATTTAGAATTAAGTTGACATTAGACATGTACCAAGCCCGAACAGTTTGGGTTTGAATTTGAGTTTGATGCATGGCCTAAGTTGAAATTGGAATAGCGTTTTCTAATTCGATCATAATAGATATTGTGAATGATCAAACAAAAGGATTTATTGATTATTAATATGATTTAACTGTATTTTTCGAAGTTTACTTGATAACAGAGATGTATTCAGATTGTTATTCTATGTATCGGCAATAATAAGTTGACGATATTTATTTTGTTCAATAGAATAGATATCTTTTTTCTGGAACATACGGATATTTAATTATTAGTGAAAATTCAATACTTAATAAATTGTTTTTTTATAATGTGCATAGTTTCGACGTATTTGTTTTTTTATCTCGGAAACATTGCATGATTGATGAAAGTTTTTGAAAAAAGTATTTATTCAGATGAGCAAGGGCGTGATGTGGGTGATTTTTTGAAAACAAGTGTACGTTGTACCACAGATGTGTCTTTTAACTATGATAATAGAGCATAGCGAATAATTCTGAGCACTAATGAAATTGAAAGTTAAATTTGTTGTCTAAATTCTATAACAGTAATATAGCGAATTGCGACTTGAAATATTCGAATTCTGACCTAAGATATCCTACGTAAACGTTTAAAAAAGAATTCAAGCACGTGATTAAACTTGCCAAAAGATCTCAAGATGTATTCATATCACATGATATTCTTGCTCATAATATTCAAGAACTTCATGGGCATGATAAAAAAGACGTTAGCCTAGGATAGCTTCATACACCTTCCAATACATATGAAGATATATTTTATTCCTATCAAAACCAATACTCTTATAAGCAATCACAACCAGCCAATAATTGCTGATACCAACCTTTACGATCTCTTTTCGTGTACCTTCTGCATTTGTAAATGTTAAATCAATGTTTCTATTCGAATGCTTTGAAAAAATGCAATGTTTATGAGTTTTAACAATGATTGCTTTTTTTCTGTTCAATCTTTCAAACTTCTACCTCTTTTATCTGACAGTACATTTGCTCATCCTTTAATGGATGTGTTAAAATTACCAGTAATGAATATATTTTCAATGATGTGTAGTTGTAACTCTTCTAAATTTCTAGTCTGAATTGCCAGCCAATAAATAATAGTTATTGATTAAGTACAGCTGAAATTTGGATCGTAGGAAAAAATTATAATTGACTTAACTATATTCAGGATAGAACATGATTGCGCATCAATATGACCAAGAATTATGAAAATCTTCTGCTGTTTTCAATTTTTCAAGAAAGACTTCTCAATAGTGACATTATTTTTATAGCTTTTATCATGATACTTTTCCCACTAACCCAACGAATAAATCTATTTCAAATAACATTATTCTAGTCAGTTCGGTGGAGTTGTTGAGTAGAGATTATATTACAAGAGAAACTTCAGATTCTTTTCAACAACGAGAGAAAGAAACATGTAAAACGATTTAGAAGATAATATTCAATTCTAATCGCAAAAAAAAATAAGAAAGAACAAAACTAAATAAACTTTGTTGATATTATAACATCGAATCGTATTTAACAGTCAATGATTATAATATTTCAATCATTGGATCATGAATTTTTAGTCTTTGTAAGAAGATTGCTTAATGACTGTTTTTTATTTATATTTCATTATCTTCGTAATGATGAAAAGTTTTTTTTTTGTTTATTAGCATTTTCTCAACAGAAGAAAAAATAATTCCAAAGCAAATGATTTTGATTTTTATCGACTAAGAATTATATCATGAAAACAATTTAATGAAAGATAGACTATTCTTATTTTGGAAGAGAAAGCAACAACAAATTTGTTTGAAGTATTTAATAATAAAATCGATAAATTTTTGTTAGAAATGAATTTCATTTCTACTCCCTGTTGAGATCAATTATTCATTGATGATTACCTGCCGATTTGTTTTGCTCACATATATAAATATTGAGAAATAGTCAATAAGGAATAAATACGATGCAAACGCTGATACTTATTCTTCTCATAGGTTAATCATTTTTAAAGATTATATCGATAGATTATTTTGGCTCTATTTTAGTATTACCTCAACTGTGTACACCTCTTAATTGTTATTCGTGTTCGGGAACAACAGGTTGTAATGATCCATTTAATTCTCTTGGTTCTGGTGTTTCAACAACAGGAACAATTGCAGCAAATACTTATTGTATAGTTAGTTTTCTTTTCTTTTCTTTGTTTCGACAGTGCTATCATATTTGTTTTTATACTATTTTTGTTAATAGAAAAGGAACTATATTGGAACAATATATCGATCAGGTGGTTCATCATGCACAGACTATTGGTATTCATCTAATGCTTATCAAACTTGTTGTCAATCTGACTTCTGCAATCGAACAAGAAAGATAAACTTTAATTTTATCTTAATCATCTTTTTATGTTGTTTTTCTTGTATTGGAATATTTTCTTAATTTGAAAATGAAACTTTTTAACAAAAATAAAAATTCGTAAATCTATTAACATGATTTTTATGTTTATTGTAAATTTTTTTTTTTTGTATGTAAAAAAAAAAGGAAGAATAATTAATTAGGATTAATTAAAAGTTCTAACAACAGTGAATAAAAACAAAGAGATATTTTTAATGCGGTGCGAAGCACAGCATTTATGTAGTCCTTCGCGAGTTTTTAATGCGGTGCGAAGCACAGCATTTATGTAGTCCTTCGCGAGTTTTTTTTTTTTCTTTTATACTTACTTGACGTACGCATCAAAACTTGTCATTTTGTGACGCGATGATCTCGAGAACTAAAACTCCGAAAGTAGTCGTTGAAACGCGAGATCCCAGTATCGAGATGGAACCGATAATATCTTTTGAGTTCATCTCCAAAGAACTTTCTGATTTACCGGAAATCGCTTCCAAAAATGACAAATTTTTGAGGACTTTGTATTTTTTCCATTTTGAGATAATTAAAACGAAAATGAAGAGAAAAGTTAGGCGCCATTGTCTTTCTTCATATGTCAAACAGCTGTAATCACAGCTGATTGTAGATAATGAATTATATAGATAATTAAACGATGAATCAAATCGTCTTTCAGAAAAGTGTTGATAGGCTTTCATAGAGTTCTCGTGGTGATCAATTTTATTATGGTGCTGTTCATTTCGAATCTAGGTTAGATCAGCTGTTTGATAAAGATCTTTTTTGTCGTTTATCCCTTACTGAGAAACATCCTTGATAATCTTAGAACGATGACGTAGATTGTGAGCAGTAACTTCGGTGATATGTAGAGCGACTATTCGATTTCGATTCGAAATTCATTGTTCGAGTTCTCGGCACGTGTGCTTCGCACCGCATTTCGTATTCGAAGCGAAGCTCGAATACCATCTAGTTTTTTTTTCTTTTTAATGCGGTGCGAAGCACAGCATTTATGTAGTCCTTCGCGAATTTTTTTAATGCGGTGCGAAGCACAGCATTTATGTAGTCCTTCGCGAGTTTACTTTTTTAATGCGGTGCGAAGCAGAGCATTTATGTAGTCCTTCGCGTATTTTTTTCTTTTTTTCTTACTTACTTGACGTACGCATCAAAAATAGTCATTTTGTGTCGCGATGATCTCAAGAACGAAAAATCAGAGAAAGTCCGTTGAAACGTGAAATGAAAGAATCGAGAACAAATCGTAGAAATTCGTTTTCCATACTTCATTAAGATAAGCGGTTGGATTAGAAATAATTTAGGAAAAAGAGGAATTTTAAAAATTTTATGCTCGAGATAATTAAAATGATGATAGCAAGAAAAGTTAGCCGCAAGTCTTTTCGAGCTATTGAAGTAATTCATTACAGCTGTAAGTCAGCTGATAACAAAGTGATCGCGCGGATAATTAAACGATCAATCGAAATTGTCGTTCATAAAAGTATTCATAGGCTTTCATAGAGTTCTCGTGGTAATAAATTTTATTATGGTGGTTTTCAATTTTCTCGCGACTAATATCAGCTGACTCATGAAAAAATAATTCTTTGAATTCGAATGATATACAGTGAAGTATCTATGTTCTGTAGCGTGTGACATTCCAACGAGAAATGACGATTACTATTAACTCGACAATCAGATTTTCGCTTCTACGAAATGTGGTTTTTTCGAAAATTCTAGAGTTTCGTGCTTCGCACCGCATTTCGTATTCGAGTGAAGCTCGAATACCATCTAGTTTTCTTCCTAGACGTACGCATCAAAACTTGTCATTTTGTGACTCGATGATCTCGAGAACTAAAACTCCGAAAATAGTCGTTGAAACGCGAGATCCCAGTATCGAGATCGAACCGATAATATCTTTTGACTTCATCTCCAAAGCACTTTCCGATTTACCGAAAATCGCTTCCAAAAATGACAAATTTTTGAGGACTTTATATTTTTTTTCATTTTGAGATAATTAAAATGAAAATGAAGAGAAAAGTTAGGCGCCATTCTCTTTCTTCGTATGTCAAACAGCTGTACCCACAGCTGAGTGTAGATAATGAATCATATAGATAATTAAACAATCAATCGACTTCATCGTTCAGAAAAGTGTTCATAGGCTTTCATAGAGTTCTCGTGATGATGAATCTTATTATGGTGCTTTTCAATTTTCTCACGACTAATATCAGCTGACTCGTGAAAAAGTAATTTTTCGAATTCGAATGATACAAAGAAGTGTCTATGTTCAGTAGTGTGTACACAATTCAACTACAAATGACGATTGCTATTAACCCGACAATCGAGTTTTCGTTTTCTACGAAGTACACTTTTTCGAAAATTCGAGAGATTCGTGCTTCGCACCGCATTTCGTATT